AAATACTGATGTAGAAACTAGAGTCTTTGGAATGAACGTAAATGAATTAAAGAGATGTCAGCTGTCGTGTTGTATCAATACTTGGGTGTATACCTTAATTGATAAGAATTCACTCGTTATTGTATTACTTGGTGCAGACTGGGCCTTTACAGATCAGTAGGCGATATCAAATGATCCGCAAACTACATACTGTTTGCTTACACTAAGCGTTCTTAGTTTTATATGATTCTAGCGATAAATCGCCACTCATACAACACTTAATACACTATAATAATTAATACATCATTCCGTATACTGTGAATCAAAGAAAGGCTAGCGGTCATGACATTTCTTTTTTGTTCAAAAATGTATAGCTTGAAAGAGACGACCATTGGCCCTCCTCACCAATCAACCGGGACATTTGCTTGATCTTATTGTATAAGTCTATGTTTGACCGTAATCTGGACAGTGTTTTTTTGTGTAAAATGAGGATTACCGTTAATGCATTATCAAGTAAAAAAAAAGGTGTTTGCATCCAGTCAATTGTGGAACTGCAACAAAAGTAGGATTTTCTGAAAGATGAATAATCCAGATCTGGATGGAACAAAATAACTTGTAATTATTTTATTAAAAAAAAAAGAAAAAAAAAACTTCAGATATACGCACTGTTCATTATTATAAGTACCAGTACTTAGAAACTTGTATTAAAAGGTGGTTAAAGAAAAATAAATGCTCTGAATTGGTTTGACTTGTTGTCTGTTTGGTGACTTCTTCCCTTTGGATAATCTCTTAACCTAGCTCCACCAACCAATCTCCGTGAGCGGCTCTGTAACAAGGCTAAATCTAGTCCAGAAGTTCGGCCGAGCTTGGTTAATTCTTCCAAATGGGCGTGAAGCTGTTGCCTTGGCTGTGCGCGGAGAAGCATTATCATTCTGACTCATAAATGAGTGCTCATGGTCCACAAAAATTTTTTCGACAAAATTCCCTAAGTTTTTACTAGTACTTGAATGCATACGATTACCATACAGTTCAAAAATATGACAATGAATATTATGGGCCTGACAACAGCAAAGGGTGCTTTCCCAGAGATTTAGATCGATCTAAAGATTAAATTTTAGATCGACCTAACTCCCTGGGGGTTCACGCTAAATTGCAGTCAGCCGAGCGGGCACCAAAGTTAATTACCCCCTTACAGCTTTTAGTAGGCGGGACAGACGCTTAAGCCGGCCAAGCTGACGGTAATCTAGTGAGACTCCCCACAGGGATAGATCGATCTAAAAATCTATGGAAATGGGGTGTATGTTTTATTTCTCCGACCGAACGATGCTCAAGTCAATACAGCGGCGCAAATCGGTACGAATTATGAAAATACAGTTTTAGAAAGCTAGCTGTGTCAAAATTTAAGCAAATAAGCATACCCCTGTATGGTTACCCGCACGAAAACGAAGTAGATACTCCAGCGCAGTAGTACAGCAGTACTGCAATCATACTGCAAACATGCTTCAAATCTGCTTCGATGTGGAAGCTAATTAGCATATTTGAAACATGCTTCTATCATGCTGCTAATCTACTGCATTAATGCTCCTCCTCTGTACAACCCTATGTAATTTTTGAAGTAGAATTGCAGTAGGCTATGCTGCATTTCTACTGCAAATATGCTCCACACCACTACTGCGTCAATGCTTCTTTGCTATTTCGATACTACTTCATTTTCGTGCGGGTTAAACAGTATAGTATATATCCACTGACGTTTCCGACAGACTGCTTACCTATTTTTACTTAACATATCCTTTTTCATACCAGTGGGGTTACTTTCGACACAAAGTCCATATTTGTAAGGCAAAAATATTATTTAACAGATAAAACACAGCCACTGTTGTACTAAGAAAAACTAAAGTACAGCAAGGGGATCCGAGGCGGACGACAAGAAAATCCTCCAGTGGAATAGTGGGATAGGCAGTACCTTCGGTGGGAACACTATGTTAGAGCCAATTTCGCTCAAGAAAGTGACGTGAGCATGGAGAGACCCTTGCAATCCAAATAATAGTTCGTTCCAGCCAGTGATATTGCCTAATCGTCTACGGTCCCTCAAAGCCAACTTACCGTGATTACGGAGCATAGCGGATTTACCATATAATTTTGTATACATTTAATCAACCTTTTATTTGTAAAAATTAAATTGGTCATTTAAATGAAAAAAGGAGATTTTTATTTTATGTTTTGCATGTATATGGCGATAATTCATTAGTTTATCTTGTCTATCTTATTTCGGTAAGGGTGATACTTTGGCAGATCACATCAACCACATCGTGCAGAGAGGAAGGATACTATTAGACAGGTGTTTTTTTTTTTAAATACTTGTTAGTCTAACAACTTTTAATTCACACACACACACACACACACACACACACACACACATATATATATATATATATATATATATATATATATATATATATGTAATTAACATTAACAAGCAAATGAAAAAAAACGAGACATGTATCAACCCCAACTCTGAGTTTCACGGGCATACCCAGAAGGTATGTCAGATAGTCAGGAGGTGTTTATTTGAAAACATTGCATAAGGCTCAACTAATGCAATGTGCAATGTATCGTCAGGAGGTGTTTATTTTTCAAAAAAATAAATAATAAAATGTATGTTGAATCGTGACCACATTAAAAGGGATCAAAGGTCATACAAGGTCAAAACTGAAGTATTTTTAAAAAATAAGCCAACAGAATTTACTTAGTCAGAATTTTTGAATCTAAAAATGTTTTTAGAGTATGATTGGTAAATGCAGTCTAAATCTCAGATATTTAACAGGGTCTCGGGATTTCATCTTACAGCATGTTAGATCTATGACTGATACCAATACTTCTGAGGGGTTTAGTTAAATTGCCAAGAAAAAGGGGGGGCAGGGAAAGGACATCACTCACAATAGAAATTCTAAGTAAGGTATGGCATTGATTTGTATATTATCATACAGCTAAAGACATATTCTTAACATTTAAATTGTAAATGTTACGTTAAATTGAATGATGTCTTTGTAAACTGGGGGCAAATGTCATACTAAGTCAAATATTTGAAGTGTAAAATTGAACCCTAAAATTCAAGCCTAAAAAATTCCTTACCGTAAGCTTAAGGCCAACCTGGTCGAAGTCCTTCATCAGACTGATGGAAGCAGTTAATAATAATAATAATAAAACACTTCTTTAAAAACCGCGCTACACATGCGTCTCAGCGCTGTTTACATAAAAAATATAACTCCACAGCCAGTATAGACTAAAAACAGAATACTTAAAAATTTTAAAAACTAAAAAGGTGCTATAAATTAAAGTATTCTTTAAATAAAAAAGTTTTTAATTTCTTCTTAAAACAGTAATATGAGTCATCCAGAGACACATTAGATCTTGTGATAAAATTAGACCATAAAATCGGTGCACAAATCTCGAAACTTCTGTGTCCATATGTCTTAAGAGTCTTTTTAGTGTCTTTTCGCTTAAGTTGAAGTTGTCCACTAGATCGAAGTGATCTGATAGGAGTTAAAAGTTCTATGGTAGAGTTTAAGTAAAATGGACAGTCGCCCTTTAAAATCATAAAAGTCAAAAGTAACATTTTAAAAATAATTCGTTGAGACACGGGTAGCCAGTTGGTCACACTCACTGACCGCTAGGTGGTATAGCGGCCAGGACCCTCTTATAAATGTCAGGAAGATCAACCCCCACCCCCCACCCCCCCGTTCCTGTTCGTGGCTGGTGACGGCTGATGTTGATAGCCTCTCGTATCTAACGCAGGATGTCAGATGACTCAGATTCAAGGATCTTGGTTGAATTCCAGTCGATACTGTGGCCGGTGTCTATTACATGTTCAGAAATGGCAGAGCTGGTTTTGCTCATGAACCAGTCTAGTTTCTTTATATATGAGAATATGAGTTCAAACTAGGATTTTTGGATATCTTTGATAAATCTAATTTTTGTTAAAAAAATCACGGAGTTTAGATGATTTATTTTAGAGTTTCTGGGGCCGGTTTCACAAAGCAGTACTTAGTTAGCGATCGGTAGTTAGCCTCTCGCTAGTTATAATGCTGTTTCACGAAGCAGTCGCTAGTTCTCTCGCTCGTTATTGTCTCGTTGTTGCCTTGGATATTTAACGACTGGTCAGACCAGTCGCTAACTCTAGAGTTTCATCGTACGCATGCGTAATGAGTGAAATAAAAAAGGTTGCTTAGTTACCGTTGTCTGTCGTTTGTCTTTGTATCCAATATGGCGGCTACTTTTCTTGCTATCCGTACCGCCAGACGGCAACGTAGACTACGACGTTTTCATGAAAGGCAGAATCTATTAGAATATACACACGATGATGCAATTTAGCTGTGACAAAAAGAGCGGCAAAAAGGTGGTGGAGATCCTTAACGACGACCTCAAAGCAGACGTTCTTATGCATTTCCAGCCACCAAAAATTGGAGAGTTAGTGCTTTCGTGACACTTTTACGCATGAGTTCCACTTCCGGCAGACGGTTTCGAGACTACGGTGAGTAACGAGAGAACTAACGACCGAACTTTACGACTGAACTTAGCGATGAGTTAACGACTGCTTCGTGAAACACCCCTCGAAAATCGCTAAGTTTGCTCGTTAGCGAGGTAGTTCAGTAGTTAGTTGTTCTAACTAACTACTGCTTTGTGAAACCGGCCCCTGATATTTATAAATGATGCAACTTACTAGTGTGTGTACTGTAGCGGGGTCTTATTTCAAATGCCCACAAATAGGGGTAGGAGAAGGAAATCATTAATAATATGGATATTAAGTAAGGTATAACTATAGTTTATATATCATTGTGTTGCTGAATGGTCCGTCTAAACATTTATGTAATATAGGAGTATAATTTGCATTTTGCTTTAAAGGGGGTCTTCCCGATATGAGGGAAAATGAAACATATCCCAAACTTTTTCTTATGTATGAAGGTCAAGATCTAAACCAAAATTCGCCTTTGAGGTAGACGGCAATCAAAATAATTAATTATTTCACATTCGAGTCTGTATTGGAGAACGTCCTCTCCCCAAAAAAAGAGAAGACGTCTACCGCAAGGTTTTAGCCAATCAGAGTGCGTTGCCTAAAATAGCACTCGTACACTAGGAGAAACAAATATGGCGCGGTGGAGTTCGAAGTAAGTCGTTTACAGATGCACGTTAGTTAAAACTCTCTCCTTTCATTGTTCGTGAACAGGTTTGTGCACTTAAACATTAAAAGAATTCATTTAACTTCTCGTCGGTTAAAATAGTCCAAAAATCAACGAATGGCTTGGAAATATTTACGACGGAGTGTAGCCTATTATGTCAACAGTGCTTGATACCGTAATTCTCAATGCCGATTCACCGAATGAGTAACTTGTACCAGGAAATATACCGGTGACATAATTAGAGAAAGTGATATTTTTCGGGTCAACTGAACCAGCCCTTTTCGGTTGGATATTTATGAACGACTGTTACTTTTTTTGTAGTTTGCTATGCTTTCTGAGCCGCAATTTTGACATCGCGATTTGCACGCACAGCGTAGCACGGACTACAAATGCGTTCCAGACGATTTTGATACTTACTGGCAGTAGTGGTGAGCATCGTGCAGATGACAAAATCGTCAATAGGAGTGCCTGAATTTTGTGCTACGCACACACGTATCTTATCTTGCTTTTTTAGTCGATGTGTTATTATACTTTTCAGATCGAGAGTAGGCCTATTGTTGATGAGGCAAGCAGTCAGAGCAGTCCAGAACTAGAGGGTAAAGAGCTACCTGAGGTAAAGAGTTTTCTGTTATTTTTAAATAATACAGGCCTTTTACTTAATCTGGCACATTCCTTAGTTTTGATAGTAATGTGTAGGACCCACCTTACCCTCACCTATAGGGGCCTATTAACATGTAATAATCCACACATACAAAAAACTTATAGTTTAGGGATAACAATTGATACGCTTGAGTGCAGGACAATGATTAATTGAAGTGAAACCCATTTGGAACAGTTCATAACATTATAACGAGTAAGCAATTAAATCAGTGCCAATTATTATTATTATTAGTTTTATTATTATTTTACAGCATACTATCTTGTGATTTCAGCCTCATTAGAAAAAAAACCCTGTATAAAGGTTTAGTAGAGTTGGCAGTGACACATAGCACTTCCAGGTCCAGTACTAAAGAGGAGGAAGAGGTGTGAGATCAGGAGGATTGACTCAAGAACATGAATGGAGAATTCAGTAACTCACAGAAGAGGTATAAAACTCATTAAATCTTTATTGAAAAGATAAATTCTAAGTTTCTCACAATACACAAACACCATTCATATTCCTTCTTATTTTCAAAGTAAATTTATTCGATAAAATTTGGTGGTGTGAAATCCAGTCCTTATGGTTATTTTAGTGTTCATACATTTTCAAATATTTTATTTTTGCAGTAAGCTATTGTACATATCAAAACAGAAATGACAGATATAAAAGTGAATATATTTTTTTCATTATCAGAGCATACATGATGGTGTTGCCAAGAAAATGATGGTGTTGCCAAGGAAAGTGCTGAATACATTGTGACAAGTGTGATGGAAATCCTGGCCTTGCACTGGATATAAAGATGCTTTTGCTAGAGAATTTACCAGGCAATGACTCAGCATCAGTGGAGATGGGACTGGCCCATCTCCCACTCACTGTAATGTCCCCTACATTTTGACTGCCGTTGAATTTGCTGGATTACTTCACTTTGAAGAAAAT